AGAAAGAAAGAAAGAAAGAAAGAAAGAAAGAAAGAAAGAAAGAAAGAAAGAAAGAAAGAAAGAACCTAGAATCCAAACTTTGAGATTCCAGGCTTGAATGTTTTGTTTCATGGATCCTTTCTTTTAAAATATTTTTTTCTATCAAATTGTTTTCATCAAGATTAAACTTTTTTTTACCAAACAATTAATGATTTTTATAGTTAGTGTCGTTGAGTTAGTTTTGACTCCCAATGACCCCAGCTGGCAATAGAAAGCTGTCCGATTGGGCTTCCTAGGTTGCAATCTTTTCATCACTGATTGGATTCTAAGTACTAACCTCTTAGTTAAAAGCTGAGCATTTAACCAGTGCACCACCAGAATTTCTTGGTGGCATAGTGCATTATAAATTGTGCTTCAATCTGAAAGGTCAGGAGTTCAAATCCACCACTTGCTTCTCAGAAGAAAGATGGCTGGTCTCCTCCCATAAAGATTCACAGCCTTGCAGACCTGATGGAGAGATGCTATGAGATGGAACTGACTCCATGACAGTGCGTGAGTAGCACCCTTTCATTAGGAGCCTTGGTGCTACATATTAATTAATGTCATGTACATTGCTAAACATAGCCTCAAATTGGCAGAAGATAAGCAAGGTTCAGTTTGCTTGGCTCCACAATCAACACTCTTGCTATCAGTAGTCAGGAAATCAAAAGACAAATTGCATTTAGAAAAATCTGCTATCAGGGACCTCTTCAGAGTGATCCAGGCCATGGTCTTCACAATTACTTACTATGCATCAGAAAGCTGGACAATGACTAAGGATGACAGAAAAATGCTTGAGTTGTGGTGCTGGAGAAGAGTATTGAATATAACATGGACTGCTAAAAGAACGAACAGGTCTGTCCTGAAGAGGGTAAAACTAGGCTGCTCCTTGGAGGCAAAGATTTTGAAGCTCCATCGGATATATTTTGGGCATGTTGCAAGGAAAGACTAGTCCTTGGAGAGGCACATCATGCTTAGAAGGATGGAGGGACAGTGCAGGACAGGAAGACCCAGGATGGGGTCTGATGGTTGAGATAGATTGACTCAGTGACTAGAGAAATGGCATTAAGTCCATCAGAAACAATGATACTGGCTCAGGATAGGGCAGGGTTCTGAGTTAATGTACATAGCGTTGCTTTGAGTTGCAGGCAACTCAATGGTACCTAACAACAACAAAGGCTATGGGAAGGTTTACACACAAAAATAATTTATGAAGTTTGGAAAGGATGAGAGAGAAGAAGGAGCAGAGATTCATGGATAAATGGGTAAGATGAAAGGAATGGGGGAGGGTAGTACAGCTAGGATTTGATAAGACATTATAAATAATGACACTGTACAATTGGAATTAATGCTATAAAAGAAAATGTGCGTGACTGAGTGAAAACAAACAAGTTAATTGGCATAATATAGTCCACAAAGACAATGTTCTACAATCTACTTTGCTGAGTAGCGACTTGTTATTGTTATGTGCTGTCAAGTTACTTGCTCCTCATAGGGACCCTATGTACAATAGCCCTACACTCTGCTCTATCCTTCACCAACCTTACTGTCTCTGACAGGCTTACACCCATTACCCCAGCACTGAATCCATCATCTCATCAAGGGTCTTCCTCTCCTGTGCTGTCCCTCCACCCTTCCAAGCATGATGTCCCTCTCTAAGACTGGGTCCTCCTTGCAACATGCCCAAAGTATGTCAGACAAAGCTTTGAGTAGTGACTAAGGTCTGAAAAACTATAAAGCTTTGAATGCCTGGCAAGGCTTTTAAACATTCCTAGCATTCTTTTTCATAATTTTTCAATGACATTATGGAATTGTTAATGCTTCTAGTGTGTTCCCCGCAGCTGCATCCAAACCAGAAATCACTAGAATTAATAACCCAAATGCAAGTTGGTTCTGATTCTCATTCCTTATCTATGTGTGAGAGAAGCACAGCTGTGAAGTTAATGCAGTTCACTGGATTAGGATTAGGCCCCATTCAAACTGTATTTTAAATGTGCTTGTAAATTACTTGTAAAGAAAAGACATCTTAATCCGACTACTTACCAAACTACTTTCAAAACAAATGTTTGTGACATAGCTGGTTAAGTATCAAAGAATCTTCTTCGGTTTATCTGTGCTTATTTTTTTCAAAACCATTTTACTGAGATAAGTTTATAATTTCAAATGTGAACGGTTTGCTTTTAGGGTTAAGAACAAACTGTCAATGTTTAAAAGAAGTTTTTCTGTGCCGTTTTCAATCACGTTAGTAGTTCGTTCTCTTTTGATGCTTTGTATTTGGAAAACTTTTCAATGTATCTAGATATTGTTCCATTGAAAATGTGTTCTTAGGATGTAGTAGATAAAACATTCTTCAAAGAAAAAAAAAATCCTGCTATAAAGCAGACATCTAAAATGCAAATACTTGTCTCTGCTAGATCAGAACAAAGTAGAGTGATTATTACTACTGAGACCAGCAGAACTAGATGGTACCCAGCTACTACTAACAACAGCTCTGAAAGAGAGAACAATAGAAGGCCCTTAGATAAAGTAGGATAAGAATGTGAAACAAAATTCAAAATCATGAAAGGGAAGATCAGACTCACTGGTCTGATAGACACTAGTGGAAACCCTGGGCCTATAGCTCCTAGGGAGTCATTAAGCCTGGAACTGAACACATCTGTGTGGCTCAGATAGGGCCATGAGAGGAACAACAATGGAAGGTACTCATGCCTTAGAACAGTCAACCGTAAGAGATCACATAGACAGCTTTTGGCCAAATATAAAGCTCAGAGGGGAAGAAGAAACAGGTAAGAAAGCATGGACATGGGAAACATAAAAGAAAGTAGAAAGACCGCTCTTACATTTAATGGATTGCAACCAATATCACAAAATAAAATATATAGGGATTGTTGAATGGAAAAGAAATTTGCTCAATAAACTTCCATCCTAATCACAAGAAGTGGTTTTTTGTTTTGTTTTGTTTTCTTTTTTTTTAATTTAGGTTGTTTATTTTTCATTTCAATGAACATCTACAGAGATATTGGGATTCCATTCATTCATTGTTGCACCCTTCTCCCTGCACAAACCCCCTCCCCCTCCCCCCCC